CGGATCCAATATGGCTAACAAAAATTTTGTAAAATAATGTTTTTTAAGATTTGGTATCTGGGAGCCGATTGTGTATCACATAACTTGGTGAAAATTACAAAAGTGAGCATATTTATAATCTCATTGGTCAACATCTAGTAAATTTGCTCACTTTTGTAATTTTTACCCAAGTCACGATTGTAGGGAGGTCCCAGGTTCGAATCCTGGCTGGGGTAATATTTTTCGCAATAAGAATTTTAATTGCCAGACACGGTCGACAAAAATCACCGATGTTATTAATTTTTTTAAGATTTAGTATCAGGGGGTTGATTGTGTATCCTATACTTGGGTAAAAATTACAAAAGTGAGCAAATTTACTAGATGTTGACCAATGAGATTATAAATATGCTCACTTTTGCAATTTTCACCAAGTTATGTGATACACAATCGGCCCCCAGATACCAAATCTTAAAAAACATTATTTTACAAAATTTTTGTTAGCCATATTGGATCCGCCATTTTAAATTTTGAAAATCTGACACCGGATTCGCAATCAGCGACCCCAGAAACACTTAGATGCACATTTTTAGAAAGAAACGATAAGTTTTCAAAATGTTTGTCGGCCATATTGGATCCGCCATTTTGAATTTTGAAAATCTGACACCGGATTCGTAATCAGCGATCCTAAAAACCCTTGTAAACCAAGTTTTATAATAAACCGATGGCTAGAAAAATCCGTGACTAAAAGGGTTAACTCTACATAAAAATACCTACACTATTATGGTTCATAACTTTCCAACGGGCAAAAACGGGCAAATGAAGTTTGTTTTCCTATTTAAAGGACACTTTAAAGAAAAGATTCATTATAGTTTCGTTCGGGCATAATCGGGCAAAGTTATTAAACCACGTATTGGAAACTTACTTTCTTCATGCAAAATTAAGCTAAAATACGTTAGTCAATTATTTAATTTCTAAATAATTGACATATGTATTTAAACAAATATTAAAAATTTTTTTCGATACAGTGTATAAGAAGCTGCATAAGTAAATTTTTGGAAATTTTTTGCACGCAATTTAAGCTGTCTATGAAAAGTTTGAACCGACACAAAAGTATTACGAAACTAAACGAATGAGCTTTGACGACAATACTCAAATATAAATATCAACTTATATTCAATAATATTTAACATATTTTATTTGTTTTTCATAATCTTTAAAGTGTTCTTAAAGCCGTAAAATAATTGATTTCATCATTTGAACAAATGTCAAAAATCGATTTTTGTCCACTTTTTCTGGATTTCGCCCACTGTGCGATGTCATATCGACATCGAAACCGTCATATTGACGTCGATTCGACGTCGTTTTGACATCGATCTACGAGTCATTTCTGACTGGGTACTTTTCCAGACACGACACATGCGTTGGATGAGGTAAGGAGATTAGAATTGCGCGAATGCCTTAGTGACATACGCGAAGCTTATGTAAAATACGATGCAATACAAGCGAAAATTGACGACCTTACGGATGAGGATACAGACACGGAAAAGTATTCGTTTAATTTATTAGCGTCGCGAGATATTCGTTTAATTTATTAGCGCAAGCGGAAAGTATACTAGCTTGCGGCGTAGTGATAAGATAGCTCCCGAGTGCAGCAACAAACGATATTCGCGGTGCGGAATCCGCACCGGGAACATTCGCATACACGATAAATGAACAAACTGTGAAGTATGCAAATCAAAATATTATTCTCAAGACGTCGGGTATCAGCCTACCGACAATAGAGTTGCCAAGATTCAAAGGTGTGAGTGACGAATGGCTTGGATTTTGGGATACCTTCGAGTCACTCATAAATAGTAACAAAACCATAGAGCTAATTCAAAAGTTCCATTACTTGAAAATTGCATTAGAGGGTAATGCCGCCCAAATGGTTAAATCCTTAGTTTTCATCCGCAAGTTATACCATAGCATGGCAAATAATTTGCGCTCGATTTAACGATAAGAGTTTATTGACCAATAATCACATCAAAGCTATTTTCAGTATAAGTCCTATGAAAGAGGAATCGACCAGTCAAATCCGTAATATCATAGATACGTTGAATAAGCATCTAAGAGTATTAAATACATTAGGCCAGTCGACAGAGCACTAGGATGCACTTTTAATATATCTGGTTTCAAGCAAATTAGATAACACTACAGCGCGAGAGTGGGAAGCGCAGCAAGTTGATACAGATCCCTCAAAACTGGAAGAGTTCAAGGGCTTTTTTAATGCAAAAGCGAATATGCTAGAAACTTTAGATTTGAATAAGAAGGGCGTGCTCAAAGCCAAGTATCCCGATAGCATAAAGGCTAAGTTGCTTCTTCTCAAAAGGCAGGAATGCGTTGTGTGCAAGGAAGCACATCGCTTATGTAACTATCCGAAATTCTTGCAGCTTTTGCCGCAGCAACGATCAGAAACCCTAAAGAACGCAAAGTTGTCCTTAAACAGTATGAAGCCCGGTCATTTTATCAAAAATTACAAAGGGGGTACGTGCAGGAAGTGCTCCAACAAACACAACACGCTTATACATTTCGAGAAGCCTCATCAGAAAACGCTACAAGAGGCGAGGAGAATAATAACACATTGTCAGTCTTGTGCTTACATAATAGAAACAATGACTATCACGTCCTCCTGTCAACAGGTTTTAGTAGATGATAGCAGTGGAAAAGAACCACAAAGTTCATGCAATACTTGATCCTGGGTCGCAATCTAGTTTGATCACAGGTAAACTATGTGACGAGCTACAACAAGAAAGGAATTATGTGAACATAAATCTTGAGGCTATTAATAGCTCATTGTGTCAAATAAAACATAAGTGCAAAATTAATGTTGCTGCATGATACGGAAATCACAAGTTTCAATTGTCATGTCTCATCATTCCTGAAATAACGGGTAACCTAACGGTAAAATTAACGTAGAAAATCTTTCAATTCCTCAGAATATTAAGTTATCGGATCCCAGATTTCACGTACCGGACAGAGTAGACATTTTTATTGGAGCTGACTATT